AAACTTTGAAAAATTAAAACAAGGCTGAACTTGACCTCATATGTTTAATTGCAATTGGAAGCTATTGTAATAAAGAAAATTGTTCTGGATATTTAATAATTCGCATTACTAAAGAGAACAATAAAAGGGATTAAGCTGTTACAGAATAGAAAGATGCAAATAATTACAATTCAATGCATTAGTTCTGATGGGCATTTAATAGCACTTGTTACTGGCTGAGGTTTAAGGTTAATGACTGCACACAATATGAACACCTCATTTGGCACTGTAATTGCAGTTAAAACTGAGAGGTGACATGAGGATTATTGTGTGATTGCATCCTGTTAGGTTATAATGGGTTGTTTTTACTTAAGAAAGATTTGACAGTTCTGCCCTTACATTTGGTGCTGTGGCTTCTGCTTAGTAATTCTGTTTGTTATGATGTAGTACTAGGGTCATATTTATTTCTCTTCACCTGGTTTTTGTTTGATTTTTGTTTTTCAACAGTTGGCTGAACAGCAATTAGTCTAAACTCAGAGCATTGAAAAATGATAAGAAATGAGATGGCAAGATGCCACTGAAGCCAATGCGAGTTTTGCACATTAATGTCTTGTTCTTTGTATTTTAATTGTATATTTCAAACACAGCTTGTAAATTGTATCCTTTTCGCCTGGGGTCAGCATACTGCTTTCTGCTTCAGATGTATGTAAATGGCCTATCATTTTGATGAATGTAATCTTAATTGTGTCTACATTCGCTGTCAGAGCTGTATCAAAGATGGGCTGTATTTGCTCAGAGCAGTTCCCAGTCAGATAACATGCTTCTTTTGCACTATTCTTTAAAATGCAAGATAATGTCTTTCTATATTCCACAGAACTCTTTATACTATCCAACGTGTTTGTTACTCAACGTATCGAGTTTGTCCACACAAGTAGAAAGTAAGCAGTACCCTAAAGGCAGACTGGCATCATCCACGGTGTTTAAACTTCTCCGAAGAGCAGGAATACATGACCGTTTGTGTCTCTGATTCAACTGAAATATCTTCTCCGTGATGCTAAGCTAGTAAAATGCAAGCCAGAAGGCCTGTGCCCATTGTGAAGATAAACCGATAAACTCGCCGATACTGTGAACGGCTCTTGGGACCGTTTCTTTATGATGACCTGTGCAGGTCCCCTCTGCTGAGCTCTGCGGTTTCTTCCCTTTCCAGAACAACAACAATCTGGAGGCCTGCTGCCGGGTCCTGTCGCAGGAGAGCAGCAAGTACCTCTATGGGGAATACCACAGCCCGGAGGAGGGCAGGCTGAGCAGGAACCACATGCTGCACATCAACCTGGGCATCCACTCCCCCACGGGGTACCACACGGGGGACGGGGGCAAGGCCAACGGCGGGGGGCGGACGCTGGTGCACAGCTCCAGCGATGGCCACATCGACCCGCAGCGTGCTGGAGCCGCGGCGGGAGGAGGGGGCGCTGGGGGGGCCACGCAGCACCAGATGGTGTCCCTGCTCCAGGAGACCCACTCCGCCCCTGCCATCGTGGCCCCCTCGCCCGGTTACAACCCCTTCTTCGTGAACGACCAGGCACGCACAGCGGGCACGCCTCCCCCCGGGCCCCCGGCCCTGCAGGGTCTCTCTCCCACCCTGACCCCGGTCGCCCGGTACGCCCTGAACCCGATCACCGTCACCCTGTCCCAGAGCATCCCCTCGGCTCCGCGCGCCTTGCAGATCCCCGGCTGCCCCTACCCCGCCGCGGGCAATGCGGTTTACATCCGGCCCGCCTCCTCCCAGAGCCCACAGGGCTCCCCCTGGCACTCCCCCACGGCGCAGTGCCACATGCAGCCCTACAGCCAGCAGCCGCCCCACGCAATGCCCGTCTATCAGGCGCCTCCCTACCAGTCTCCGTACCCCTCCAAGCAGATGCCCCAGACGGCTTACCGCTCCCCTCCCCCCTCTCAGTTCCCTTCGCCTTACAGCTCCCCCCAGCACCAGACCTCCCACGTCTTCATGCCCATCAGTCCTCCTACAATGTCACCCCTTCCGTACCACCCCCAGCAGCAGCAGCAGAGCTTCCAGCAGCAGCAGCAAGGCCAGCCCGTCTCCTACATCCCCTACCTGTCAGCCAAGGGCTCTCTCAAGAATCAGATCGAGATCACCCTGGAGGCACCCCAGAGAGCTCACAATCGGAGCTCCTCTCCCGTGACCAGCCAGCAGCAGCAGCAGAGGGGGCAGAACACGCTGTACATCTCGACCAACGCTTCTCCGAGCTCTCCCTCGCGGGGCTTGGCCAGCGGCCAGATGAGCATGTCCGGCCAGTCCCAGGTGGCGTCCTACCACCCCGGCATGTTCATTCACCAGGTCCCCCCCCGCCCGCGGCCCACCTCGTCCCCCCAGCCCGGAGGTGGGGGCGGGGTCCGGGTCACCCAGCCCGGGAACTCCACCTACACCTTCAAGATCAAGGTGTCGCCCGGCAGGCAGGTCCAGCCGCGGCATCTCGAGTCGCCCACGGTGGAGGCGGAGAGCCTCCTGAACCTCGTGGAGCACGGGGAGCACCCGGGCGCCCCGCAGCCGATCCAGCCCATCTCCGCCCTGCCCGGCGCCATCGGCGCCCACGCCGCCAGCCGCTTCCCCAGGAAGTCCAGCTCCGGCTCGGACGACTACGCCTACACTCAAGGTAGGGAAGAGTCTGTGGCTCTGCGTATTCCCAGATCTCCATCCTCCAAGATACCACTTCTTACCTGAACGTTTCTGTGAAACGCAGTGGGATGTGTGCGGGGCATAGAAATGACCTTAGATGTCATTGACATGTTTCAGTCGGGAGTCGTGCTCTGAAGGGAAGCTCGGCTTTCCAGGGCTGATTGACGTGGATATTAAAACACAGTGAAATCATTTCTTTGGAATTGTCTTGCTGGAATTAGCAGAAGAACAAAATGAGCCTGACCAGCTGGCAGCAACGGATTTACAATACCTGTAGGTACTATTCAAACCGAATCCTGTTACCTGCGAGGGATTATGGGGTACACGTCTTCATTTCTAGCCCCACTCAGGCATGTTAAACAGAAAATTGGAGGTCTTCTTTCTTCATGTGGCTACAGGTTAATTGTTATAATTAAGAGGCTTCTGTAGGATTCGGTTGCATATTAGCTTTTAGAAACAACAATTAAAACTAAATATGAGCTGTGCTGGCGATATCTGACATGTCCCCCAGGTGAAACCGTTGTTTGCTTTCTTGTGCAGATACTAATTATACAGATTAAGCTGTTTCATGTGCTTTTATCTGATTTTTGTGTTTGCAAAAATGCTTTCATCTTTTTTTATGTTGGGCCATTTGTGGAGTCTTGCCACATTTAAATGAGTGCGCCTAAACAGTGCTAATATCCTGTTTTTCCACAACAGAGGAAGAAAGAGATAGTCGATGTAAGTAAATGTCTGTATTTGAAAAGAACCCCTCTTTATTCCGAACCACTGCACTGGTGAAGCATGAGTGTGTTGAGCATTTGGCATTTCTTCTGGGCAGGGTGGTAACGGGTGAAATAGGGTCACAGGCAGCTCCTTTCAGCCCTCCTCGGAGACGTATACAGTATGCTCCTCCACACTATTCAGCCTGAAGCTTTGATGTTGAAGGACTTCGTTTCTTTTGTTAATTTTTCCTCTTTTGTTGTATCAGCAAGTTTTCATTGTAGACTTTTGGTATGAGTACAGTATCCATGTGGTGCAGGTGACCAAGCTAGCAGTCTTACCTGTGTTTTAATTAATAGGCTGTTGACAGCCTGACTCCTTCCAGTACTGGGTGTCAGGGGCTTTAGGCTCCTAACATTAAGATCAGGAGACTAGTGTGTGGAAGGTATTCATTCACCCCTCCTGTGTGCTATATGTGGTTCAGAACCCTCTACCATATTTCAGTGTGATGAATGAAATATGTTCACAGTTACTAAATGTTTTTGATTTTAGTGGCAGGCAGGACTTTGGACTTTTGGTTGAGCTTAAATCTTTGACCTATTTTCTCTCGCCAAGAAGACATTTTGAGCAAGCGTTCCAGCAGACAGCTCTGTCGTGGCCCAAGGAAGCATGGTGTAATGCGTGTATGCTCATCTTATGATCATCCCCTCTGTAAAATCGTCCAGTATACATTTGGCTCCGCGATACGGATATCTGCAGAGCGGTTTGTTTTCTGGACATCCGCGCTAATTTGTTGCAGCTCGTGACACAGCTGCCGGCACTTGTGCAATGCTTCCTGTGAGAAGAAACAAAAGTGAAAGTTGTCTCTCTGGGGCAGTGGACTGAAGCAGACTGGAAGTGAGAATGCAGGGTGAAGTTATCCCGGCTGTTTTTCACTGCTCAGATCAGAAAGCCTTCTAATTAGTGTTAAGTGCTATGTTCCGCCTTCGCGGCGGTGAGACTTTTCGTTGCCCCCACATTCCAGCAGGCTGCTGTTTATCTCCCGAAATCAGTGCCGCTTGTTTGCAGAGGTCTGCACGTCACATGGTAGACCTCCCTTATTGAAACAGCGGCTCGGCTTTGTACCCGTGGGTACAGCCTGCTTTACCGCAATGTGAAACTCCTCAGTGGGGCTGTGTTTAACGTACGAAGATGGACATTTTGAAGAGTTACTTTCATGGTGAGTGCACACGCAAGTTTGTTTGTTTTTTTCCTCCTAAAACGTTATGAAGACGTGACTTGCTTTACAGTCACGGAGTACTTGGAAACTTGAGAAGGTTTATTTTCCTCTGGGTGAAGGGAGGGGTGTCAGACCGGCAGTGCCGGATTAGACTGGATTAGATTGATATTAAAAAAACAAAACCGTATAATCTCCATCTCCAGTTGAGTGTTTTCTGGCGCTGATGCACCCACTTTCAAGATTTAGTAGTTTAGAATATGACATATTGTTAAAAATGTAATTCTCTTAGGATAACCATTTTGAGTGACTTGAATTTAAAACTTTAAAAAGGGAGTTTACTTTGAAACGTGCTGGTCTGTAGCGAAGCCTTTTGCGAGAGTTTGTTTTCAGAACTTGAGGGGGTGCGCCAGCTCTCCTGTGACCCATGTTTGAAATCTGTGCCGACTGCAGGAAACTCCCTGCATAAGATAAAGACTTTTCCGTAAACTGTGAGGTCCCCTCTGTGAGGTTCTGTCGTCTCCTTCCTCCGGGGCTTCCACATGTGCTTCCAGAAATCACCGCGTTGCCGTCTCTCTACGGGAAAAGTACGTTCCACAAAGCAAACTGATTTGCACCCATCTCAGGAGTTTAGAAATGTGCCGCTAGCTCATGTATGAGCTTTCAATCTCCATTGTCTTATGGAGGGTCGAGAAGCAAACCTTTCCTGTTGAGAGATCTGTGGCAGCCTACTGCCACGCTGTGGCAACGTCTGGGACTACAGCAGGGGGCTGCCTAGACATGGGATCTTTCTCTGTGAATTAATGAAAGCCGACTGCAGCAAAAGTGACAGTAGTTTGCTGTACCACGTTATCATGGCTGCAATTTGTAGTTCACTTTCAAAGCTTATATGCTGTCGTATTGTTTTGAAACAACTGTACCGACACGGCAGAATGAGCATTTTTCTTTATGGTTAGTTTTGGCAAGCAGAGTACTCTTGGTGAATCAAGTCCCTTCATAGTCTTCTCTGTTCAAGATTAAAAACAATCAGTTTTTTAGCCTGTAGTACAAGATTGTTTTAAGTCTCTGGAGTGGACCTTTGTTTCATCTGTTGGGTTTTTCTTGCTTATTGGAAGGGGTGTGTGTGTGTGTGATTGCATAAAGCATTGTGATCAGTGATGTCACTGTAATAGCCAGATTGCTATTGAGTGAGTATAACAATAGTAACATCTGTGGTGAAGAGTGCAGCCCTTCTGCACCAGCAGGCCAGGTGGGGTTGCTGATCAAGCACAGGAGGAAGTGTAGTGGCAGCAGGTGTTCATCAGTGAAATGGAAGGATTTAGCCTGCTTTGATCACTGCGATCTCAAGGGGGTTCTGATGGCAGCCAAACGGCGAATGAACGGATGAGTCTTTTTCGGAATGGGGTCCGGTGTGCCCCCCGGGACGGGCGATGAGGCGCGAGCTGACGGGCCCTCGCGTCCCATCTCCGCAGCTCTGCTCCTCCACCAGCGGGCGCGCATGGAGAGGCTGGCGAAGGAGCTGCACCTGGAGAAGCAGAAGCTGGAGAAGCTCAAGGCCGACGTCAACGACATGGAGTACGATGCCCTCCGGCGGCGCTTCCGCCGGGTCAACGCCTCCGCCCTCATTCCGCGGGTGAGTCCTCGGGGATCGCCCTGCTCGGGCCTGGGGCCGTCGTCCTCAAGTGCGCAGGAATGGTTTCAGGCCTGTGGTGTGCGGCGTCGGTGCAAGGGCTCTGTTATTCATCTTTCATTTTTCGTCGCCCTTGATGATCTCATCATTAATGAGAAAGCAAGCAGTCATAAGAACATAAGAGAGGCTGCAAAGGAGAAGAATCCAACCGGCCTGCCAGCATGATAGCTAGTAGCTCATTGATCCGGGGATCACGTCCAGGTGTTTCTTGGGAACAGCCAGGGTATCGGCTTAAACTGCACGGTTGGCTAAAGCAACATCGTTAGAGTGTATTTCTTGGAAGGCAGACCTCTTATAGTCTACCCTTGAGTAAGGGTTTGGGCTTTATTCAGATAGATAATTTTTCAAGTGAATATTCTTACAAGATAGGTGGAGCATGTAAAAAAATACAAAGACGTGCCTCACTGATGGGCAACAATTTGATGCACACGAGTGCAGGTGTGTGGAACAGCTCTGGCAGTAGAGATGTGATATCGTCAAACTAGGACAAACAGATAGATATTAACAACCATTAAGACAACTGCACAACCACAATTACATGACATACAGCAGTAACACTAAATGCATGTACTGGTGTATAAATAACCTGCCTGAAACAAATAGGCATTTCAGAGGCCTATATTATACACACACCCCCAAAACAAAGAATGCTAACCCTGTAACCTGAACAATTACGCAATGGCTAAACAGACCAAAAAGCGGGGGGGGGGAATCTTGCTTCCTAAATAAAAGAATGCAGCAAAATCAAATCAGAGTGGGATGTGTCATCCTCTTTGAAAGATGAATCACCAAACTAGGAGAGAATGTTTTTAGTCTAAGGAGTCCAGAATAAAGGCAAACAGAATTTCCTAAAATAAGTAGGATGGTAAACTCTCTCTAACCAGGTTCAAGTGATTTATCAAAAAATCTGGTCTCTGTGATGACTGATCTGAAAAATATGCTTTTTACATGTCACAACATGGTGTTTTTCCTTCTTCTCCGTTTCTCTCTTCATTCTGTTTCCTTCCTGTATTTTCCCTGTTCTGTCTTTCTGTTTTATACAATATTCTGTAATTCTTAAAAGGGCTAAGGGGAAGTTAACAGGATTAAATCTCCAGAAAGTTCCCTTTGATCTTGCCTATAATGCAACTAGATGCATGCCACAAATGAAACCCATTGTTTTCCGAGTTGTGAACTGTCAAAATGTGAATGGCAAATGTTATAGAATTTATGACCCCCATCTGGATTGTATAATATACTGATATTTGCACAGGTTCATACTGCTTTCACTAGGTTAGTATGTAGTTTTCTGTTTCAATGGCTTGTACATTGAGATCGGAATGCTTGAAAAGAAGGCTTTCCTGTATTCTGTGCAATTTAAGGACTTCTTCTTAAATGAGAAAACTTTCACTCATATGCATATTTTAGTACTTGACGTGAGCTTTTTATTATTTTTTGTTAGCCTGAGGAAATGACAAGACTAAGAAGCCTGAACCGACAACTTCAGATTGACATTGACTGTACCTTAAAAGAAATAGATCTCCTTCAGTCAAGAGGTATCAGTATATTGTGATGTCTTTCAAACAGTTGCACACTTTCTGGTGTTCGGCCCCTGAAAAGTCTGTCAGTTAATCTGGTAAAAATTTTGATGTCTTCTATTAAGAACATGCACTCTTTCATTGTTAGACATTTGATAACCATGAAAATGCTAATGCTGAACATCTCAAAATACTGCTATCACCTTTGATGTGACATCTGTTGCAAAACGAGGCAGGATTTCTCCAAGTATCTAGTGAATACAACGGTCTCTTTTTAGGATAGGAAACATTTTCATTTTTATTTGCCGTTAATGTACAGAGAATATTTTCACATTTTTGTTGACTTCTGAATGTCAGGACAGCAGTGATGTGTTCCCTGTAGTACTCTGCATATATCTTGAGCTTGTGATTAAGATTAGCTTAATAATGTGTATATATAGTTCAGTATTTTTTCTCTACATGTCATTCTGGTGTTAATTTAGCACCCCAGTGAATCCAATAGTTTATTTTGAAAGATAAGAGATTATAAAGAAATGTATTGATAATATATGTTGATGCTCTAAATAAAACGAATAAAATGTAATCAATATCCATTACAAACCTTTTAAAATATGTCTTTAAGTCTTTGTTTGATGTTATGTCATGTGTTAGCTGAATGATTACATCTCTTTCTCAGTTTTACAGTACAGCATTGATGAGGACTGAATGTTTTCTTTCTCTCTGCATCTTCAAACACTTTTATCCCGGATGAGTGTGAAAGTCTCACCCTGCATTTACTTTCCAGGGAAGTTTGATCCCAAAGCCATGAGCAACTTCTATGACAACATACAGCCTGGCCCTGTGGTGCCCCCCAAGCCAACAAAGAAAGGTGAAGCCTCCTTTCACATCTTTAGATTTTCTAAAAGACATTGATGGGGGAAAACACTAAAACAGACAAGCATTCTCTGCAAGAAAAAAAAGCTTATAGCCAACAATTAAAAGGCCTGCCGAGTGCAAGTGTTAACTTTCCTGCAGCCTGTCCCTCTGTGAAATCTGTGAACGACCAAGACACTTTCTGACGTTTCCTTCTTAACACCTGTGACAGAGCTGCAGTTTTGACGTCTCAGTTGTGTAGGCTGTGACACTCCGGACTGTGAGTCGAGGCTTTTTGCCAAGTTTGTGTCTCTTCTGCAGAGGGAGGGTCAAGCGCCAAGACTTCCTCCGGGGCGCCGCCTAGGGACGAGGATTTTGAAGGAGCTCAGTGGAACTGCGAAAGCTGCACTTTCCTCAACCACCCAGCGCTGAACCGCTGCGAGCAGTGCGAGATGCCGCGGTACACCTGAGCAGCAGCAGCAGCAGGTCGGCCAGCCCCGGAAAAACCGCCCCATCCGCCACCCCCATCCCGTCATTTCGGAGGAGTGCAGGAAGGGCCCGCAGAGGCCAGCCTCAGCACTGACCTGGCACCCCCCCCCAGCAGGGGGGCAGAGCTGCGAGGTGCATGCTTCCAGAACCTCTCCCAACCCGTGAAAGCCACCCGCTGAAGAAGAAGGACCCGGAGTCAGCGCACGCTTCCCGCCGGGAATCTTTTTCACATCCCTCTACGTTCACTGTGGCTCAAGGAGGTCGGGCAGTCAGCAGTGGAGTTGGGATGGAGGGGGGGGCGGGGAACAAAAACGTACAGGTTGAAAAAACGTAAAGCTAAAGGAATGAAAATAGGAAGCTTTTCCTGTGACACTTTTTTTTCTTTTTTCAGACTACAGGGCAAGCAATTCTCCGCTGCTGTGCAATGAAAAAGAGATGACTATCGGTCGTCTATATATGCTGCTTTCTTCAGGGCAACAGCGGTCTTTGCGAAAGCGACCTGGGGCTGGGGAGGGCAGGGCAGGGGTTATTGCACGAGCCGAGGCGAACGGCCTCGTGTGTGCAGTGCGTCCAATGTAAAGGCTCCAGAACAATCACGACTGCTTGCATCACTCGGACATCGCCTGCTCCCATTCCGAAGCCTGGGCTGCGCTGCTCTGCGCTGCATGCTCTCCCCTCCTAAGGACGGCCTTTCTCCTTTCATCCGATAAGGCGTAGCGTGTTTTTATACCGTGAGGTTTCCTTTTTTTAAAAAAAAAATGCATAGGAAAAAGAAAAAAAAAAGGACAAGGATACCTGCTTCTGTAACAGTCCGGCGAACTCACACAAAACCGTGAACTCCAAATCCCGCTCAGGAAGAATAGTGCAGCCATGATGAGGGCAATGGCATGTGATCGAAGTTTGCTTTCTGTTACATTAGCATAAGAGCTTCCATTCAGTGGAGACAGCAAACTAATAATTACAGCACATGCCGTTCCTTGTGAACGCTCGCAAAACTACTAGACCTGAAAATAATTGATGATTAAGTGGCTGTACAATAGTATTGGTCTGATATCACTTTATTTGCACATAAATGATAATCCAGATCTTGACATGAAATGAGAGATTGTACACAGCGTGTGAAAATTTTTAATAAACAGTGTTCACCTGTTGAATGAAGAACACTAAAGGACTTGCAAAATAAATATATTACTGGTACTTTTATGCATATTATGCTATACTGTATTCTAAAGGTGATGTTTTATCGTGCGGATGCTTCAGGTTGCTGTAATATTAATAAAGCACTCGTTCTGTGTTAAGTAACTGTGGGGTCTGAGGGACACAAAGTGTGAATAATGTGCGTGTGATTAGGTCTGTATGACTGTGTTGTGACCTCATTATGAAGATATGTGCCCTTCTCCCTCCTGCCTTTGTAGAATTCAAAAGCAGTTTTTTGGGGTATCTAATATTTTGTGCATTCAGTAACTTTTTAAAACAACAGTATGCCTCAGTATATATATTTTTAAATCCCTGTTTTGGTTGTCCGAGGTTATTCTGTGCTTTATCAGATGGGTATCTTTAACCAAAACTGAATGTAAGAATAGACTTTGAACGTCTTGTGTGTGTGAAATTTCTCTTCCACATCCGTCTCTCTCAGATTTGGTACATAATCGAAGAGGCAGGAAATGTCTGAGGAAAGTGCTACTACTGTAAAACATCTGCTTGAAATAAGATGCTGTCTTACATTTTAATAAACAATTAAGTGCAGCATTGGAGGCTCATGAAGATCACAGTCATTTTATTCACTCAAGTTCTGAATGCTTTATCAGAAGAACTGCTTTTTAGTTATTTGCAACTATAGTAGACTGGCTGTTGGAGCTAGCGTTTTTCTTCTCTGCTCCAGATCAAGGAATAATCATTTTCTGACACTTTTTAAAACATCTTTAGCCTTTCACTGAAACAATTGCATAGCCACCAAAACTTATTTTATGAAAGTTTTTTTTTTAAATAGTTTTATGGTCACCCTACCTGGAATCTCTAGTTATTTATTGGCTCTGTTTTACAGGTGTACCCCAGGACTGCCATATTGAGGACCTGTGTATTTGTGAGGAGGACATCCTTCTGACAGTGTGATTTGTCTTTTGATGTCCTATGAATTCCACCACACCATAGACTAAATTAATGTCAACTGTTGGCATCACTGCAGGTGAAAACCTGGAGGAGCTCAGGCAGCTCCTGGGTCAGTCAGTCCTCGATATGACCAAGGCCTCAAGCCAGCGGCCTCACCTCATGCTCTACAAGTGGGTACCTCAGTGTGCAAATAGTGGTTGAGCCACTGTGAAATAGGGATTTTTTTTAAGTGATCTGGTCTTGTCAATTTAGAGCACTGCAGAAGCACCAGCGCTTGTTCCCCTTGATATTGTACAAATCAAAGCCTTTCATTGCCTTTTTGTGGCAGTGGATTCTTACAAATGATCGAGTCATTACAGTGAGTCCAGTGAACCATGTTGTCACAGCAGAAGAGCATCTCCACACCAGCCTCTGCTGTCCTAACGACAAACTGATCAGATATTTGAGTATGCACTTTCCGAATATTGCATCACATCTGTTGATAAGGTGGATGCTGCACATTGTTGGGGGTGGAGGGGAGTCCCCATTACCTGTAAAGTGAAAGTGGAGTGGAGAGTCCAGAAAAGCGCTATATAAGTGTAAGCAATTATAATTATCTGCAAAGAGAATGATTTATCCGAACCCAATATCAACAAAGTATATAACTAAACATTATAGTTCTCATCTAACAGGAGTTTTTTTTTTTTCCGCGAGCTTTAGGGTGTTCAACTTAACATATCCAAATTATGAAGTCTGTCAACTGAAAGCAAAACTCAAAGCAATGTTCAAAATGTGCATTTAATTTTCGTGCAAATGTGTATCAGTGCTATTTCTGAGCATTGCTGCAACTTGTTTGGCTTTTTCACCCATGTATAAAAATTAAATTTCAACAAGATGTGCCCCTGAAGCCAGTTTGATCATGTGAGCGTGCAGCACACTGGAGTCTTCTCAGTTGCAGATGCTCTTTGAAATGTCATGAAGGTGTCATTTATCTGTGTTAACACTGACACTGTGCAGCGGTATTTACTGTACCTGAAATGCTGCTGTGTTTTATTTGTGTACATGTCATGTTTATGGCTTTAAGGTCTCAGTGCCTCAGCTTTATTTTCTCTCCTCAGGGATATGGATATGAGAGGGGTGCACAACATGGCGCAAACAGCTCATTACTTCCTAACAGGACGATGGCTCTGTGTTGTAATGTTTTACCTACAGTTAGGTTTTAAAAGTGAGAGAAACTGTTGGAAGTTAGAAATCGCTTCTGTCTTGGCACCAAAAGCAGTATTTCTCTTTATAGGCCTGTGAAAGGTGGAGTGAGATTACCACTCACTGTCCGAAATATTAGGAACGCCCCACCATCTGGTGTTCAGTTGCAGTCATTGCAGCCTACACAGTAGTTCCATCATGTTCCCCTGGGATTGTACTTCATTTGAGGAGTGTTGAATTAAGCTCTGTTACACCTGTACAGTTTTCAGCAGTAGTATCATTTTTCTGGCCAGGGAGGTGGTGAAAGTCTGCCTCGTGCTCCTCAACTTCGTATTGTCTGTTCCTGTGAGGTAGCCTTATCTTTTTGTACCTTGAAAAATCACATCTTGGGATTTTCTAATATTTTGATTAGTATGTTTCTCTGTATTTATTGCACACATTCTCTCTAATGAGAATTATGCATTAGCTACTGACACTTAAAGTTACTGTTTTTAGGATATAGGCAATTTTCCTCCATTACTTGAAAAAATATCCTCTTCCTGCAGCAGAAAATCTCCCTTATTTCTGTAAGACTGAATAGAAATATTTACTCGTAAAACACAAATAATAAAATATCTAAATGTTGAAATTTTTAAAGTTGATTACCCATTAGCCGGGGGAAAATCATTCTAACTTGTAAGTGAATAAAAAAAGACTATTTCATAGGCTGAAAGTGATCGTCTGCTCCAGGTTGACAGTGAGTTCCCCTTAGCTTAGGAAGACAACAGGTAATTCGCTAAAGCAGTGATGTCACAGTATAAGTATTTATCGCTGACCCTTAAATCAGTGACGGCTGTACAACGAATGCTAAGCCATTTGCAACTGAAAGATAAAATATAGAGAAACACTTCAAACATGGTGTTCTTGAACCTATGAGTGAATTCACTTGCAGATCAAGAGTTTTCTTTGTGTAGAAAACTACAATGAGAGAAACTCCGAAACAGGTTTACAGATTTGTCTAGTTTGTAAGTGTGTGCGCCTGCTATTAGGACTTTAACCAATTGTAAGATCTTCAGTCTGGTTTAGCCTGACCTGTGGAGACTTCACCATACTGTAGCTGTGTAAATGTTTGCTGTTTACTTAAGCTGCTGTGTTTGTTCTTCCTGATTGCCTTCCTGGATCCTTTAAGTTCCAGCTGTAGTAATGCAATGAATTGTACAAAGGCAGCTGGGCAAATGCATGTGTACTACTGTCACTCAGCAGATACAGCCGTGGTGGTTGTATTCTTTTCCATTTAGAAGCTCAAGTGAGGGAATTGTACAATTGCTGAGAATTACTGAATAAACCGTTAGAAACTGGTATAACAAGCGGCACTGGAGAACTGTCTGATGTGAAGTTCAAACCTTGGCTGCCTTATTCGGCTGCACAGATGATGCTTGAGCTGACTCCCTCCACCCTTCAAGCATGTGACTGCACTGGGAAGATGTCTCCGTGGGGGACGTTGCGCTCGTCCACCCACTGCTCCACCACATGCTCTGGTTTGCAACCTGGTTACACTTGTAAATAATGTAATATATTCCAAAAAATAAACTGTATAACAAAGGCTCCAGTCTTGTTTTTAGCGTGATTGTTCCAAAATGATTTTTTTGTTGTTTTAACTTCTGCCTTTTTTTAGAAAAAGGAAATTGGTATTATGTATGAACATATTCTTAATGACTACCAGTGTATTACCCTTTTAAACAATCAGTTAATCTAACCTTGCTGAATTATTTTACTGAATAAGTTTTCTAAATACTAGCATGAGAAAAAAATACGAGCTGAACATTTGAAATGCAAGGCCTCATGTGACCATTTCATTGAGATCAATTTACTTGGAATTATTTGTCCAAATTTCCTCTTAGTTGACTTTATTTATTTTTGAACAAACAGGATCTGCTATGATCCCCATGTGTCAAACACAGCAAAGTAGCCCAGGTTCCAGTAAGGTGTCTCAGGTGAAGCTCACTTTCCCTGCAAATTCAGTGATGACCAAGCTGTGGCTTGTTATGTTGCGTTATCAGGAATTTTGAATCTTTTTTTAGTCGAGAGCATCAGTGCCCTGCTTTTCATGTCCCTCTTTTAAGTATTGAGAAGTTCTAGCCTTTTTTTGTACAGAGTGATAGGGCGAAGTCACAAGTAAACAAGTAAGGAACAAGTAAAGAAAACACAACGTTTCAGCCGTGGAGCCTTCTGCAGGTGTGAGAAGGCTCCAGGCTCCTCTTTTCAGCAGGGAATAAACCTATTACTTGTTCCTTTGCAGCCTATGCATGCTGACGCAGCGCCCCACCTGATTTATTTAATATTTGTTTTAAAAGAAGCGGCAAAGACAGTTCTAATAATGTTCTTCCCTGAGATTACTGTAACTGGCTTAAAGGTAATCAAGTCCTCTGTAGTAAGCAGGGTCAGCAACGGAGCCAGATATTTATCCCACAATATTTATTTTGTAATGTATAAAATACCGTTTACAAAATGGTCCATCACCTAAATATAAAAAAACATGATCACAAACCTATTTCCTTGCCAGTTTAAAATGTATTCCTGTCTTTCTTGGAAAATAAAAACATGATTTCAATTATCAAGCTACCCTCACCATAATAAATGTATTTAAGATAGCCAAGCAAATGGTTTCAGAGGGAAATAACGGACCTAGTTTTGTTTGTTTTTTTCAGTTAAGCTTTAGTAGTTCTATTTCAAACTGCCACAATCTTTTTTGTGGTCATAACTATTCCATTTCTCCAAAAGACTGATTTTTCTAACCGTCTAAACTAGGAACTTTAATGTGTATGTGTTGTTGAATTTAAATTTAATGCAACAGTCCAGCCAAGTAGGTCAAACTGACGTTTGTTCACAACCTCCAGTATTTAGGGGATTAGGGGAGCCCTTTACACTGTTCTGGGGTCAGTTAAAATAATTCAATAACATCATACATCTCAAAAGGTTTTGCGGTGCATTCTCAAAAGTTAATGAATTGCACTTGAGAGATTTGTATTCTCCATGTTTACATGTAACAGATTGCAGTCTTGACATGTCATGTATAAAATCCTCTTAAGTATGTAAGGTGACTTTAAATAACCGCACTTTACAGAAGCCTAGATTATTCTGACACTATTTTGGTATTGTGCCAGACTGTAAGGTGTATCGCTGGGGAACTGATATCTCAGATATTTAAAAGTTAATAACACATTTGAAAGTAAAATATAAACACTTAAGAGTACTTTTACAGTAAATCCAAGTAGGATAATTACAAATAAGAGGGGGCAGGAGACAAGGCAGAAAAGGCTTTATCGGGGTCCTGTTGGAGACAACTTGGCTTAAAATGGGTCAGACCCTTCTGCAGGTCCACGTGAAAGGCCAGCCACGAGCGGAGGCTGGCGCGGAGGTCTTCTCTTCACTCCCAAGCCATGATCACTTTGCTGAAACTCACAAACACGCCCTTGTCGGGTTTGCTGCAACGGAGAGAAACAGTTAGACGTCTCTCACAAGAGCTCAGCAGGCCTAGCCCTGGGCGTTCAATCAGAGGTCAGGGGTGCTAGGTCCATTCTGAACTGCGGCTATCTTTATTTGACATGCTTTTCTAAAATGCTGTGTATTTACCCCGGAGCACAACAGCAGTACCTCAGCTGAGGATTTGAAACCACAGTTCCTGGGTCCAGAGCCTTTAACACGGTGCAATGCTGCCTAAATGAAGTCATTACTTTACCTACTCATAGCTTACCAATTGCAGAAGTCTGCTTTTGAAGATGTTTTCTCCTAAACCAGCTTATCTGCCATGATTTGTTTACATAGAAATAAAAATCGTGCAGTGCGTCACAGATGCTTCACTTGTCTTGCCATTGTTAGAGCTGGTGTGAGCACTTGGGGCGCAGCGTGGTTATTGGAAGTAAGGTACCGAAAAACAACGAATTCAAAACCGCGTACTGTCCGCCGATTTCATCATGGATGACTAGCACAGGTCACCCCCCCCGCTCCCCCCAGGGTAACAGCATGCGCGAGAGCCTCACCACAGGTAATAGCGAACTCCCTCGAAGGTGCCGTTGTGTCTGCCCACCTCGCCGCCCTCCAGCTCCACTCCCAGGTAGACGTCCTGCCGGCCGGGCAGGTTTCCGACGTACCTCACGGTGCCCTGGCTGATTCTCCCTCCGGGCCGGGAGAACTTCACCAGGTGCCCCACCTTCAGGTCCGCCACCCCGCGCGGGGCGAAGGGCCGCCGGGGCAGGACCGGCGCCCCCTGCTGGGCTCTGCAGCACACGACAACACAGTTCACCGTGACTATTTCAGCACCACTCAGCTCATCGACGGCTGCGTGCCCCCGGCCTGCAGATGATCGAGCCTCGTGAGAGAGGGGCCGGAGCTCTAAGTGTACAGAAATGAACTGGGTTCTTCTTTGAGTCTAGGCCGAGACAAACAAAGTTGACTGCCACTGCGCCATGCATCCCTGCAACAGCAATCTGGTGGCTATCACTGTGAAACACCCCTTATAGAGTGTTAAACTTCACCAGGAATCACAGATAACCTTCCTCTACTGCATTATTCCTTTTAAACATTAAAGGAATATTAGAATGTCTGTACATGAATGTGAATGAGACATTAGAATACAAAATGCATTACAGAATACAGTATATGGCTTTTCTTGTAGTTGTTTCAGTGCAAATCCATTCCAATTCCAATTCCTAGTTCACCCTTGAAACTCTTTGATATTCTTGTTTGTGACAAAGCAACGGGATTCTGCATTTGACTTTGGTAACGCTGACTCACTAAAAATTATCCTCATACTGTTTCCGAACACATTCTGTTTACTCTAGAAATGAAGCGCTGTACGAATGTATGGGTATTTAATCGACTGTGACAAATACTTAGTACTTAAAGCACTTGTTCAAACAGCAACATAAAGGTAAAACAGCTGTGAAGTTTGTGTCATGACTTATCTTTTATCTGTAAGCCTATACAATACAGAAAAGCAGAACATAATTCTGTGACAATTGCACTGTCTTCAGTAGTCTTACATGTGGCTTTTTCTTCCTCATTCCTGTGTAAAATGAACCAAGGAAACCAAACAGCATCTTCTCCATGGGAACAAATGAATACGTTTTGTGCTTTGTTTCTGTGTGCCTAAGGCTTTAAAAAGTCATTCCTGAAACTTCCAGTATGACCCACATTTAAACTGTGCTATGTGTATTCAAAGGTTATTTTTAAAGGTGTTACCTTTTTCTTTAGATTGAACAATTATTTTCAAGCCAAATACTGCCATTTTGAAAACGCCAACTGTTAAAGAATTTGACCAGTGTAAATGCAGTGTAAACTTACTACTACAGAATAGACGTTAGAGCACATGTCTCTGAAAAGTGCAATGTCAGAGCTATCCAGCCTTTCTAAAGGAAAGCCCCACGACACCTATGAGTGTTATAATCCAATAGAAGTTTGATGCCATATGACAGATGGTGCTCTTGCACAAGTTGAGGAAAACCCTGGGTAGTTCAAGTCCAGAAGCTTGTCCACTTGAACTCTACTACTTACAATCTCCAGTCACAATCCAGAATCACACCAACAATGTCTGTGTGTGAACAAGGTTCAGCCTCTGCTCTGAGTAAAGAGCCTTTCTGGTTGCCTCACTGTGGCCATCAGGAGTGGCTATTGAGGTGTCTCGGGATCTAGAGACAGGGGTCAATATCTAGCTACTGTAGTGTCAACATTTGCAGCTTCAAAGCAAGAAAAGATCTGAAGTTTTAGTTTGATCTATCTTGAATTCCTGTCGCTCTGCAGTTACCTGCTCCTGCCCTGACTGCCGAGGGCCGGTCTGTCCCAGTCAGCTGTGGAGTGCCCATTGGCCAGTGAACTCGCCACAGTTTTGCAGGCCAGAGAAGACTGGAGGTGGGTATTTGTCTGACTAATGGAGCACATGTCGTCATCACTCTGGGCATCAGAGTCATCCGATGTGGCTCCTGACAACAAACAGAATGAAAAAGAAAGCAATCAAAGATCAGAGCTGCGCAATGTTCCCTCTTCAGTGTTCGGCCCTTCATTCAGTTTGAGCTGTATTTCCTTTACATCTTTGAAACAAAGTATATTAGAGTTAACCAAGTGACTCTGGGTGACAGCTCAAAGTCTTGATCAAACCCCAGTTTGCTTGCAGTGCTTTGTGCCAGTCCTCACCCTGCAGTCCCTTTAATGCTGTGGAGATATACAATGGCTGTTTCAGACATGTTCTGCTTATGCTGCTCAATGACTTTCTTGTCATTGCTTGCTTGACTGTGTATAGTTTAAAAACAGATTTACGAACCTTATTCTACTTGAGGATTGCAGGAGGTTTTTCAACGCATTGAGGAATTGCCAGGCTTACAGTAAGTAGCAGGCCCAAACCCCTCTTCATGTAAATCGTTACTAACGGTAAAAAAAATCATCTGTGGCAAATAGGCAGTGCAGATAAATCGAGTCTTTCCAGTAATTCAGAAGCTGGATTTCCGCTGCAGAAGAGTCAGCAGTTTTGGTGTGGCTGGGTATCACATTCCACAGACAAGGCAAATCCCGGGCAGATGGTACCTGGTCGTCTGTGCTCTGCGTCCGTGTCTGCCCGGGCTCTGCGCTGTGGCGGGTAAGAGCTGCCTGTGTGCCAGTCTCCGGCAGGCTGCACTCCTGGCACTGCAGGGCCATGCCGGGAGAGGGGGGGCTGCAGGGCGCCGTCCGATCGATCTGCAATCTGCCTCTGTAGGACCTCTGCTTTCGCCACAGGCCACACACAGGAACGGCATCGGGGAAGAAAGAATAAAACCACTCACAGATCAAAATAGGATCAGTGTAGGTAAGGACTGCAGCACAAAGGCTTTGCATGGTAAAAACTTTCCCTGGAACTGCAGTTTTATGAGAACCACAAACCTGTTTTATGCCTGTTATCTTGTTTCTTTAACAAACAAATAAATAGGAATCGAATACTTGGCAGGGGTCTGGGGTTCTCTGTTTAGTCAAGATGCATACCTTGTTTGTAAATATTGTGACTTGTACTGTATGTTGTATGTTCCTCTTGTGTGTTGCTCGCTGTGCGTATTACATTGTTAGTAAATGTTTAAAACAAAAAAATCCTAAATAAAATAAAGAAATAGTTAATTTGCAATTGATAATTCTAAGTGATGTCTACCCCACAAAAAAGATTAATGTTTCTTTAATGTGAAATTCTAGAGGTCGGTGTTATTTTGGTGCAATATAAGTGATGTTTTTAAAGGGGCATCCTTCTTCCCAGTGAGACCCAGCCTGTGTGTCACAGAGCCCTGTCAGGTTTAAAGAAGTCACTGTACCTTTAAAGGCTACCTGTCTGGAGGAGGAGGAGTTCCTGTTGAAGCCAGCCAGGAGGAAGTCGGTGCTGTCGCTGTCCAGGGAGGCGGGAGAACTGCTGTCCCTGGGCTGCCGCCTCTCGCGGGCTGGAGGCGACACCAAGCAGCACAAGCGTTAGACACTACCCCTCCCAGCCCACGTCAGCCCTCCCGCAGTCCCCCAGGTCACACACTACCCCTCACAGCCTACGTCAGGTCACACGCCCGCCACCAAACTGCGTGCAGCAGATGCACAGACATGTCACAGGCATTACCGAGAGCTGAAGCACAGGATGGAAACTCACGAGTTCCCACTTAAGAACAATACCTATTCTGACTTTGAAGTAGATGTACTTTATTTCTTACAACCCAAACATATTTCTTTCTTCCTAAATGTTCTACTTACACCATGTCAGACCTACAAGTATTTCAAACGTGTAGCGTATTTCATGGCAAACCTCAAAGGGCACCTCAGCACAAAACGTGGTTGTGTAATAGAGGGGCCCCCATTAAGCCATTACTATTTATGCAGGTTTTGATCAATTTAGCGAGTTATGTCAGGAGTGGCCGACTGCAGTCCTAAAGAGCTAAAAGATGTCTATATTTTCATTCAAATGATTTCCAAGCTACTTAATTGAAAAACTGGCTTTAGTAGCCAAAATGAAGCAGTTCCAAGAGTTTACTAAGTAATAGTAATCTAGTAATCTAAGTAATCTTGAGTGAGATCATGGTGACCTAATAAAAAACCTGGATCAGAGCCTCTCCAGGACCAAGGTTTGTCATGCCCAATGCTGACACCAAACAAGATTCTGCTTTCCCTAAGGGTATTTATATCCTGTGCTTTTCTGGGGGGCTTTTTGTTGGCTTTCGTATGTTTTCAAGCTCAATTTGTAATAAAGAGTTCTAAAAACGCTTAATCGTGAAAAAAGCAGTATTCACCCTACACACACAATAAACACACTCCTTGATATTGAGCACCAGAATATGATAAAGCAGGAAAAGGGCATGAGATGTGTATGCAATTAAGATAACGGAGTTGTGGCTTGTGTTGAATATTTGTTGTACATTGCTCAGTAGGCTTTTAAATATTTGAGTATTTAAGTAATGTAGTGTCTGCTATACTGTGCCCTCCCCTGGTGTGAACTGGAAGTGAAGAAAATTATGTCATAATCATGTACAGTACTTCTATCTCCACTGTCACTGACAGCCACTCACAGCTAGGATAATTACTGTACAACTAACTCATTTTTCTCTCTTCACTGTATTCCTTGGCATATTGGTATATTCCTCCGAATATTCATACACACATAAAAGAAGAGGAGACCAGGAAGAAACAAATATATAATTTCACACTGTTTTGTTGTTTTGAAAAATAGCAGACTGCACATAAATCCAATTTGATTCTTATAATTTATGATTCTACTTTTCAGTAGTGCGGTAAACCCTAATAGAGGAGATGAGAAGCATGATTTGAACAGTGCGTTTTATTAGGGTAACTCATCTAGCTGAAGAGGGGGATGACCGAACCCCCAAACCCCCTCTTTAATGAAGAATTAGCCAGGGAGCTGCTTCCTGGGTGAAGGTGGGTGGGGGGAGAGATGTGCAAACTATTCACTCAACCAGGAAGAGGGACATTTATACGTAGGCAGGTGCTAACAGATGAGATTAGGTTTTCACCTCCTCCTGTTTGAATCTCCATTGGGTTTGAGCCCACACATCAATACATGGGATACAAATAAGTATCCAAAAGCCAAGTCCAGATCTGTAAGTGTTCTTTAACACTGAGAGGTTCCGTTTGTAAGCAGACTGTTTTACACGGCACTGAACATTCCCGATGGGATCTGCGGACTTTCTTACCTTCCCAGGACAGGATCTGGCCCTCACCGCGCCCGTTCATGCTTTCCCACTTCACACCTCCCTTCCTAATTCCAGCAATCGGGCAGAAACAGAGCAGTTAAGCACCAGTGTCCTCTGAGTCACAAAAGCACAATCGGTCAGAAGGTCCTCATCTTCTACAACGCCAATTTAGTGTGCTAATACTAGATCATCAGTTTGATGGCTGCTGAAAGCCAGAATCTTTTTGGTGTTCAGCCTGGGTTTGTCTTCCAGATAACCCCACCATAGCACTTAAGATACATTTTACCCCCCCAAAGCCAACTGGGGAAAAAAACAGCAACTTTTAAACAACCTTATGGCATCAGTGTTCCAGGGCCGGATTTTGGTGTTCGAAGGCCCTAGGCACTTTCACTCCGAAATGTGCAAACAGAGAGGTGAACGCCAACTGGTTGACATGATGCACTTTCAACTCTTCTCATGCTGAACCAGGCGATTGATGGAGCGAGTCGAGCCACCATCACTTCCATCCTTCTAGTTTCCAGAACAGCCGCTAGAGAGCGCATGATTATTGATCTGGAGCACCTAGAGTCGACCGCAAGCATGTTGTTTCAGCTCGTTTTTCGTGAGTCACTGGTGTTTCCCTACTTCTTAGGCCTTAAAAATTCTTACAGTGCCTAATGGGAAATCTGGCGCTGCAGTGCGCCTTCATCTTCATTTTTACTTCTGTACTATTTCCAGCTTTTCTCTTCCACTGACCAAAATCAAATAGCAGAATCTAAGGTAAGACTTCTTTGCCAGTTATTTCTTTGCCTGTTATTGGATTACAGATTCAACTGCACACAGAGAGTGCTGGATGGGTGTGCTGCAGGGAAACTGTTCAGGACCCTGGCTGAGACCCTCCGAGCAGGACTGGTAATGGCAGGGGTACGGTACCTGCGCTGTGGTGGAGAGGGCAGGTCTGTGGGCCGGGCCGGCTGTCCTGTCACTGTACTCAGGCCACCTTTGAGCCCCGTACTGTGTTCAAGCCTGTGCTGCACTCCTTCAAGTAAAAAATGAACAGCCGATTATAATTATTGTTTGAAAATCAGATTTGATATGTAACCCCATCTTTATTAAAAAACACATAATATAAGGGTAAAATGAGATATACGGAAGCAGAAAATTACTTTGTTATTTTGTGTATATTCTGTCTGTAGACCCTAAAAAGTAAAAAAAAAAAAAAAAAAAATCAAGTTTTCCTGCCAGGAACTTGAAAATACAAAATAAATCAGTTACCGAGTTACAGGAATTAAGTTTTTTTCCCACTTTTGCTTCATGTGGTCCCATACCCCTCTCTCTGGTGTCCTTCTCGCCGCCCATAATGGTTCTCAGGAGCTGCTCATGCTGCCTCCTCATATCCCAGAGTTCCTCCTTCAGCCAGCGGTTCTCCTCACTCAGCCCGTGATTGGTCTCTCGCAGCTTCCGAGACTCACAGCGGAGCCGAAAGACCTCTCCGCCGGGGTCCAGGCTGTCTCCATGGCAACTGGGCTGTCGGGGCTGCCTGTCGCTTGTCCTCCAGTGTTGAACAGAGGTGTGGGTCTAGTACCGGGACAGAGGAGGCATTGAAAACCACAATCAAACCGTCAGGACCCGCTGTGAGAGACTGTTCCTGTTAAAATCAAGCAAGATCTTGATTCTGAGGAACACCAGGGTGCGGGGCATGAAATTTCAGGGTAAGCACAATAATAATAACATGGCTACCATTATTTCCTTATACTACCCAAGAAATGAATATGCACATGATGAACTGGCACAGCGTTTAGCATTGCAGGCCCTGGGATCCTGGGTTCAATTCCTGGGGTTTCATCCAAGTGCTCCAGTTTCCTCCCACAGTCCAAAAACATACTGGTAGGTAAACTGGCTTCTGGGAGAATTGGTCCTGGTGTATGTGTGTGTGTGTGTGTGCGCGCCCTGCGATGATCTGGCATCCTGTCCAGGGTCACAGTGACAATGAAAACACTCCTACCTTGAACCCACTGCTTGCTGGGGCAGGCTCTGGCTCCGCAGTGACTCTGGATTGGATCAAGTGGTTCCCCAAAATGTGGGCGTAGAAAATCTAAAATAATTTCCTGTCTTGTTGTGTGGAATAAAACATTTTCCTAGCTGATTCACGGTCTGCACTGAAAGGTTAGAATCTAAATGGGAGATGGAACAGTACATTTCGCAGACCTGCTATGAAAGAAGCTCAGTGCCTTTACCCTGGTGCTGGCCAGTTTTTGCAGGGCGTCCTGAAGCCGGTCTTCATACTCGAACTTCATCTTGGCCATCTCACTCTTCATCTGGGAGATCTCCTCATCTGCTCTGGCCAGCTCATGGACTGCATTCTCATTGGCCTCTTGCAAGTCATTGATATGGCTCTTCAGATCAGCTGTGTCCAACACACAGTGACAATGAAAACACTCCTCTGCATAAGACAAGCTACAAAGACAATGCTTTTGCTTTCATATTGAACACTACAGAATTCTGTTTGAGAGAAACAACAAACATAAACCCTGTAAACTGCTCAATTTAAAAATGTTTATATTGTTAGTTGTAACACAGGCATGTTTAAAAAAAGACATTTATCCCATTAAAACAATAAGTGTTTTGGAAAGCATTTATTTCTTAATGTTCAAAGTATAAAAATGCAGCGGAATCACTTGTAAAAGGGAGAGAAATGCTCTTCACTTCAAAACTGAGGTTCCATACCGATCTGTCGCTGCAATATGGGTGGAGCTGTGGGGTTAAAGGCCAGCTGGTCTCGCTCACTCTCCCTGCCCCTGACCTGCTCCTCAAGCGCCTTCTTCTCCTGGGGGAACACAGACCGTCTGAACTGAAAAAGGGCAGCAGAAAGAGTAAATGTCTAGCAATGTTGTTTTGTTTTTATCAGTAGCTTCAGAACGCAATGTGAAGAAGAATTCCAATGGTTAGAAAAATGTGGAAAATAAATCTCATTTCTTAATTGCAACAGTTTAATGGCTTCCCAGAGTTCTTCAGTGCTGCTTTAAGAGGACACACTGACCCTCCAGGACCAGGACTGGGGATCCCTGAACTAGACAGTACTAGGTGTTCTGGGGTAAGAATGATTCGGTTCCACTGATATTCCAGTGTTGTTGAGGAGTATTTTTAATTCATTTGTCAGCTTACAACCTGAATCTGCAGAGACGATCTCTGTTTAATTAGGGGACCCGTTGACACAGAACATTTGGGGTTTGCTGGAAGGTTCCAGGACAGCTATGGGGTTATGACGAGGCTGACGGCGGTACTGTACTGCACCTCTCTCAGCTGGGTTATCTCCTTCTGCCGCTGGGCCAGCATGTCCTGAAGCAGCCAGACTGTGTCCTGAGGTTCATGGCCAGAACCGGTCTCCTCTGCAGACTCCCTCCTCTTTAACGAAAGCAAACAATGTCACTGTCACGCATCAGTATTATCACACTCCGATGACAGCGAGGATGACGCTCGTAATGATGCGATTTCACCTAGAAGCCCCTTTTCATCAAGCTCATCGCATCAACGGCACAACAGGAGCGAAACAAGTGAGGGGGGAAAAGACTCGGCAAGCTGACTTCATGAAACCAAGACAAACTCTTGAAAGTTTTTTAGTGAAAGCTGTCTTTGCCAGCTGCGGAGGGCTAGACATCCAGTTGCCTCCCTGTGGTAGCTTAGAACAGTGCTCCCCTACCCTTTCCATCCCTTCCATAGCTGTCAGAGTCAGCAGCACACTGGACTCAGCACATGATCCTTCATATTATAAATACAACTCATTTCTGTGCTGAATCAGAGTGATGAAATCTGCCTCTGGTCTAGGTCATTACTCCTGGCCCGGCCTGAGGGAATTTCTTACAGACACCCGCTGTTGTAAGTGACACCTCAGAAATAGCTGAAAGGCAGGATAACATCAACAGGAACAGCCACTGGACCGCAAGGG